TTGGTTTTTAAAAATTGTGATCAATCAGAGGACTAGGTTTTTGGCTGGGTTTTTTTGCTGTCGTTGTTGTTTTCAGCTAACAAAAAGAAATACCATGGCCAGAGGACGGTGCAGGAGGGGATGTGATGGATGACACAGCATTACCCAGGAGTGGAACTGTCACACAGGTCTGGGCTGGCTTATGTTACCCCTGAGCAGTGAACTCAGTAACACAAGGAATTTGGTGTGTGGGTTTGGGACCAAACAATTCTGTGCATTGCTGATATTTCCACGCTTTGTCTGCAAAGCCTTGTTTCCTTTGGTGCAGATTGCAATATTGATTGTGTGTTTTTGTGGAAATCAGCACACCAGCTGGTGAGCCATGGAGGAATTCGATATCAGACTTAAGAATTTACTCATGTGCACATTTAAGAGAGACTCAGTAAAGTTGTAACTGACTGTGCCCTTAGTATGTTCCCAAGCCTGATTTAACAGCCAGCATTCATCAGCTCTGTGTTGAAGCACAGGTATGCCTTTTCCCTGGAGATGTGTCCATGGCACTGCTCTTCTCTGTGATTTTAGTAGATTTACCAGAGCTAGGCTTCCTGCAGGCTGAGTGCAAGAGGTGAGGGCTAGGAAAAAATTCTAGGGTGAAGAAATTCCCATGCAGGAGCAGCCAGGTACCATATCCTGGCTCTCCAGCCTGCAGTGCCTGCTGTGGGCTGTGGCCATGCACGAGTTCATGGGCGGCTGCAGCTCCATCTGCAGAGCTGTGGCCTGGCCTTGACATTTTGCCAGACCTCTTCTGTCCTGGGGACCATAAAGTTGTGATTCCAGATAGCTATTGGAAAAACAGCTATTTCAGATCCAGCAGTAAACCAAACTGCAATTAAATTTAGCTTTATTTAGTGTTTGTGCTTTTGATTATCCCAAAGCATGTATTTTAAAATAAAAATGTTTCCAGCTCTATGGCATCCCTGAACATTTAAAGCTGGAAGAAGTAGGGGATGACTCAGAAAACCCTTTGATTCTCACAGGATTCTTTGCTTCAAAATCACGTGTGTTTGGGTTTTAGTGGTGGAGCAGCTGCAGCTTTGCCTGAATAAGGACTGAGCATCTCTGGCTGTTGGGGAGGCAATGCCCAGCCCTGCTGGGATCACCTGGGGAAGGGCACCGGAGCTGGATGTTATCCTGATCCGTGCCCACGTTTCAGGCCCCGGGTGTGCAGTCCTCACTGGGCTGCTCCTGCACTCCAAGTCAGGGCAGAGCGTGTCAGAGCATGTGGCCCTGGGAGCAGTGTGGCATGGGCACGGGGACAAGCAGGGTCAGTCCTGGCACAGGCTGCACAGGGGCACTGGGCTCCTTCCAGCAGTTCAGGTCTGTTCTGGAAGGGAGCTGGGTCTGTGGGTGACACCTCATCCAAGGCCAGAGAGGAGCAGTGGCTGCTCTGCCTCACCTCAGGCACCATCTCACAGGTGCTGCCGCCACACCTGAGTCCCCAGGGAACTGAGCAGAAGCCAAGGGCAAACCTTCCCTTGCCTCTACCCGCAGTCACCTCCTCCTGAGAGCTCTCCCCAAACAGCAGAATGGTAAAGAAAGCATTTCACATGGTGAGCTGCACTCTGCAGCAATTCCCACAGAAGTTTTATTGCCTGAGCGAGGAAGAACGTGAACCCTAGAGGGAACAATGTGCCAAAGTATTTAACATTTCTTCATCTTGCGTGGAGCTAAAACTTCCCAAAAATCTTTAAAAATAGCTGCAGGGATGTTTGTTCAGGGCCTGAGGCTGGGCTGAGGGGAGTTTGAGATGTGACTTGGAAGTGGGGAGCAAAGGGTGGTGATGCTGGGGGCCTTCAGGGCTGCTGGACTGGGAGGGTTCCATGCTCTTCTCAGCATCCCACCTGCACTTCCAGGTTCTGGATCCCTTGTAGGGAGCCTGAAAATGGGGACAACCATTGAGCTGTGCTGATGAGCTGGTGACAAATGGTGTCACTCATAGTACTGCTCCTTCTTTTATAGAAATAATACTCTGAAATCTTCCTCCTGAAAGAACAGGAATCTTGGTGGGTGTGTTAATCACCGAGTGACCAACGCCTGAGCCTGCTCCTGGGACGAGGCCGGGCTGGCATTTACGGGGGGCCCTTCCCTGGCGTCCCGCGACGGCAGCTCCGGCAGGGCAGGGCTGGGGCTGAGCCCGGTGCGTGCCCCGAGCCGCGACACCGGCGGCTTCGGGCTACCGGGGCGCTGGCCCCCGCCCAGCACCGCAGCCGTGCTCCGCCGCTCCCCCTCGCGGCACCGCTCCGGGAACCGGGGCTGCCCGAGAGGAGAGGGGCTGCGGGGAACCGGGGCTGCCCGAGAGGAGAGGGGCTGCGGGGAACTGGGGCTGCCGGAGAGGAGAGGGGCTGCGGGGAACCGGGGCTGCTCGAAAGGGGCTGCGGGGAACCGGGGCTGCCCGGAGAACCGGGACTGCAGAGAACCGGAGTTGCCGAGAGAACCGGGGCTGCCCGGGGGAGCGGGGCTGCGGGGAACCCGAGCTGCCCGAAAGGGGCTGCGCGGAGCCGGGGCTGCGGGGCTGCCGGTGTGTGCGCGAGCGGCCGCGCTCCGGGCAGGGCGCGGGGAAGATGCTGAGGCGGGTCCGGCTGCGGGGCCAGAGGCCGCGGGCGGGCCCCGAGGGGCCGGGCCGGG